TTCCTGCTCCTCTGTGTAATGCAGACTGAACAAGAGACTGTTGAGCCAGTTGAGTGTATGGCCAACCTTATCATGCAGCTGTAATAAGCTCTCCATTTCCAGGTCATAAGGCGCCATTCACACCTGCCACACATGAACATGCGCAAAATCATGCACTTATGCGTGCATTCACCCCATTATATGTTAATGGCACCACAAACGCGTCAAGAAAGACGTGCCATTCAACCTATTTTGTTACCTGTTAAAGCCTTCCATGTTTGGATTTCCAAAGGCCCTGAGACTGCTGTTAGGTGCTGCCATCTTGGATGTGATATCAGCAGTCCCAGCAGCTGACAAGTATAGTATTCTTCTTCGCTGCTTGCCTGGCTGCTACATTAAAGCTTATGAAGGGAGGTGAGGGCAGGGATGAAGGAGCAAGGGCAGCACAGACAGTAGTTAGACACTACCAGAAAAGCAGAGGGCTATGACGTGCAAGGTGATGGGACAGGATTGACTATAACTTGAGATTTTCCAGCAAGTTCAGAGGCACACATTGCAAGTGAATAAAACAGGAATTTTTACTTACCTAAAAATTCCTGATCTTGGATCACAATTCAGGACACAGGACTTAGCGTCTGAGGTCTAAGAACTCTTTTCTCCACAAGGTGGTCTCCTCTTTCTACCTTGGCCAAGACATTGTCTTTGCTTCCCTTTGTCCTGCCCCAAAAACATCCCAAGGAAATTGCTTTCCACTGTCTGCATGTAGTATGTCCTATGTGCTTTACCTATGTGCTAAACCTTCTGATTATTAGACATTGGCAATCAAAATTGTTAGGACAACCCAGATACCCTCTCCCACTCCCAGCAATCCCCCAAGTTTTATAGCAAACAATACAGAGTAATTTACAGGAATAGGAGGAGATAGTCGTGATTCCTGTACTATACTCCAAAATAAGGAATTTCCAGGTAAGTCAAGATTCCTGTTATCTTAATCGTACAGAACCAGACTTGTTCTCAACCATGGGATGTCCCAAAGCAATACAACAGTGGGGTGGGCAACACAACGAACAGATACCAGCAAGCCCACCGAACAAGAGTCAGAACCCTAACACTCACAAAGCAGCTTTACAGCACTTTACAGTGAAAACTGGCAGCAGAAGAGGCCTTAACATCCTCCTGGCAAAATGTAGCAAATGTGTGAACGGAAGACCAGGTGGTGGCCTTGCAAATCTGGGAGACAGATGCCTGATGCTGAAAAGCCCAAGAAACAAAGGGAAGTAAAGTCAATGTCCTGCTCAAGGTAGAAAGAGGAGACCACCTTGTGGAGAAAAGAAGTCTTAGACCTCAGAACAACTTTATCCTTGTGCAACACTAGGAAGGGTTCCTTACAAGAGAGGAGACTCTCTTGTCTTTCTGGGCCAGTTCGGTGTGATGAGAATCACTGGAATGCCCTCCACCTGGATCCTGCCCAAGAATTCCTGGCAAAAAATCTGTCCAGTTGTTGAATCTGAAATCCCACGTCTGGCGTTCCCCATCAACAACATAGGTCTTGAAATACCATTGGCTTGAAGGGACCATTCTCCAGAATTCACACGTTGATGACTGAGAAAGTCCACCTTGCCATATCCTCTCTCAGTACAGAAAGGAGGTCCATCACCTAAGCATACTGGTGAAAAACTAACTTGCTTAGACTGGGAGGAGTTTAAGGGCTGATTGCCAGTGTCCAGTTACCTGTAGGTGGCAGCATATAACCATGGTTGAGAGTCCTGTCACTGTGTCCTGTACTGTATGATTAGGGTAAATCATTGCAAATACGTATTTAAAATACTTGATTTTTCTGTGCTTTTATCTTCAAGTGTTTTAACTTGGTGACAGGGCCTCTTTAAAGTATAGGTTCATTATTATTATTTTTTTTGGGGGGGGGGATCTTGCACCAGCTTATAAAAGTGATATTTTGTGGTGCTGTTATTTTTCATTATTGGCTGTTGTGGCTTGTTCATAAACACATTTATTTTTGCATGATATATAGATGGACTTTTCTTTCTTTTTTCCATCTGGGGATGTGTCTATTGAAAGTCTTTCAACTAAAAAATGTTTTTGTGCTAAGAGCTTTCTCCTTCCCCTCTCGGAAAGTCAAGGGGTACAGGTGACAGAAGTATAAGGAAACTTGCTTTATCATAGCGTAGTAGCCCAGGAGATCAAACCAAGATGGCTTTCATTATGCAGTGCACAAATCGCTCTTCTTACATTGTACCTGGTGAGCGCACGATGCCAGTCTATGTTTCATCCATGTTTTATTGCTTTGAAAATTTGGGACTACAAATCAGACTTTCAGCCTAGCAGCAAAATGCCAGCAAGCAGATGGCTCCTTTCTGTGTAGAGGAAGACTCGGCCGCATTTTACCACTCGACTGTCACATCCTCCGCCGAGGAGCTGAGAGGCGGACAAATTGAAAGAAACAATCTGTCGCTTTGTAGCAGAGCGGTACAATCTATATACATTAGGAGAGGGAAGATTCTGAATATTGGAGGACATAGTTTATAAAGGACTCCAGTTTGGGATCCCTTTGACTCTCATCTTTGTTGCTTATTGTATGTGTGCACCCTTTTGCCAGGGTTCCAAATGGGTTACAGAGCCCAACAGGGCATTTCAAATCTGTAAGCGTAGCATCCAATTTTTGTTCTGTTTCAGCCTTTTTTAAGATGAAGGAACCCTAGAAATACCTTTCAGGTCCCAGGGGACCCTTGATAATAATAACTGTATCTACTGCCAACAGTACATTAGAATGAACAGTAGGCCGATATACCAGAATAAATAAAAGAAAAAAGCTGACCATACATGGCTAGAATTTCATTCTATTCCTGATGAATCAGCTAAAATTCAACCTGTGGGTGGCCAAGTCAGCGTCCTCCCGTCACCCTAGGCTCAGTATACCACGAGCTGTAGCTCGCGGTATACTAAGACGCCGCAGTATACCGCAAGCTGATGCTCGCGGTTTACTGAGATGCCGCAGCTTAAGCGGATCCCGACAATTATGTCTGGATCCGCCCAGCTGCGTGACTGACAGCTGGCTCTGCCTATCTAGACCGTTCCGCCAGTCAGCACTATCGGAGCGTGGACGGGGGAATCCAGCCCCTCCCCTGTCACGGCAGAGAGCCGTGACAGGATCAAGAGGTGAGCGAACGCCGGTATGTGTTGGCTCACCTCCCGATCTACTAAGCCGACCCGTGACAGTCTCATTGTCCCATGTCAGCTAGAACTATGAGGTGAGTGAAAAGCACTCACCTCATAGTTCTCCTTTAAAAATACATTCAAGTACCCTATTAATTAACAAAAATGTATCTTATTTGTGTATCACTCGGCTGTAGATCCTCAAATCATCTCTGAATTGGTGCTGACACTGTCCTTCCTTCAGGAGGGGGGCTATTATGGTTCCTTATGGTCCCTGTGTGTGTTGTAAAGTAGCCACTGCTCCAAGCTCGCTTAAAACCACTTTAAAAAGATAATTGGCTACTTATCTGAGAGGCAAAAATTGCTAATTACTTAAGAAACCCGTAGCAACCTCTGGAAAGAACCATGGTTGCTCTATTTGATACCCACCTGGTTTTATAAGCAACTCTGTGGTATTGCCTTAGTTCTATGCTGCAGTTTAGTTCATTTTTATTTTGTTTTGGCTAGACTGTGAAAGTGTTAAAACCCGTGTTAGGCATTTATTGTTGCCGGTATCCTCAGTAGTGAGATTCACCTGCTATTTGACCTGATGACCATTGACTGTCTGCTGGACAGAAAGTGATAGTAAATCCAAAATGTTAGAGTTGTCGTAGAAATAGAATAGGAAATCTTCCAATGGAGACGCCTATTCCAGTGACATTTGTCTGAGAGGATTTCTCCTCACTCTGGAGACATTTCCAGTCACTTCCTATTGCGTCTTCAGGACGGGAAGGACAGGGGAACCAAAGAAAACCACTGGCAGGGGTCTTAACCATTCCCTATGCCGTCCAAGAAAAATAAAACTTTGGGGGATACTCCTTTTAATATTTCTTTTTGTGTAGTGTGGATTTTATATTGTTACCCAGTTGATCCCAACTACTTGCTCTGCTGAGGCTGTGTATTCTCTCTATAGGCCTTTATGTCCTTTAGAGCAAGCTGTACATGCGCCCTTGATGCAAAGCTAAATATACACAAGTGCTGGTCGCTCAGAGAAGGGACCCACTCAAGTGAATCTTCAAGAACAAATACCACTTTGTTTAAAGTGTGCCCAGTGCATGCAAGGAAGAAAACACTTCACTAAAACCTTGTGTGCATTGAGAATTCTGTCTGGGTGTCTAAGTAAACTCAGGATTCCGTAATGTCTACATGAGATTTGAATTTGGCTATGTGATGTTACTTTCTTATAATATAACTTTTTAATAGTCCTATAATGAATGCAAATTGTGCGCAAAAGTTTGGAAAACTTACCAAGCCAAACCAATGTGCAACTTCTCAAGCCCACCACACAAATTTCTTTCTACACCAAGAAAATCTGAACTGCTGAGAATAAAGCCAAAGTCATTATGTTCACATATATGCTCCACTTTGTCAAAGTAATAACAACATGTATCCAGGACGCATATAAATATCTAATTGGCTCACGAGCGCATGATAAAACTATCGCTAAGCAAACCCATCCATCAGTAAGCAAATTAGCTAAATGGATCTGTGATTGAAGGACTCGGCATGAATCCTGCGCTGGAATAACCTCGGTCACATGTACACTAAAGGTTGTAATGAGCATGCCATTTAAAAGACTTCACGGAAAAGTGTGTACATGCAATAAAATCAAAGTGCTACATTAATAATAACTGCCAACCCTGAGCTTGACTTGATTGATGTACAACTTCTGTTCTTACAATGTGACTTGTGGCAGAGTAAGAAATATCTGCATGTTTTTTGCCCACATTTTGCATAGGACTCAATGCAGTCACATTGCACCCTAAGCTTTGTAGGCTCTTGTTCTGATTGTCCCCCTTTTCTGTCCACAGAGAGCAGCAGCAAGAAGGAGTTTGTGTCCTCGGAAAGTCATCTCCTATATTACCCGAGTATTACTTACACCATCATCGGCAGCTCGGTCATCTTCGTTCTGGTGGTGGCACTGCTGGCTCTGGTCTTGCACCATCAAAGGAAACGCACAAGCCTGATGAGTCTTCCGGTGCACCGGCTGCAGCACCCGCTACTGCTGTCCAGGCTGGTGGTTCTGGACCACCCGCACAACTGCAGGGTCACCTACAACGGGGTGCAGTACATGTCCAGCGAGGGGTACCAGCCGCCAGTCAGTATTGAGTCTCCGCCATCCTATAGTGAGGCCGTGCTGGACCACAAGTGAGTCTTTGATTTATCATGTATTTCTTCATCTCTTGCTGCAGAATCATTGCAAGTACAGGTGGATACAATTCATTTTTGTATATATTTGGGCACTATAAAGATAAACCTTACAGCAGAACATTATTTTAATAAGTGTCACATTTACATAGCCGAGGGCTCAAAAATTAGATTGGAAGACATTGTTTGGGGTCCCAACGCAAAGGTCTGCGGTCCCTTTATTTAAAGGAGAACTATGGGGTTAAGGCTTTTCCCCATAGTTCTCCTTAGGGTAACGGGAGGACACAAACGAGCGTCCTCCCGTCAACCTAGGCTCAGTATACCGCGAGCTCTAGCTCGCGGTATACTGAGACGCCGCAGTATACACCGAGCTGCTGCTCCCGGTATACTGAGACGCCGCAGCTGAAGCGGATCCCGACAATTGTGCCGGGATCCGCCCAGCTGCGAGACTGACAGCCGGCTCTGCCAATCTAGAGGCAGAGCCAGCTGTATCCGCCCCCTCCCCCGTCCGTTCCGCTAGTCAGCGCTGGCGGATCGGAGCAGGCAGGGGGGAATCCAGCCCCTCCCCTGTCACGGCAGAGAGCCGTGACAGGATCGAGAGGTGAGCGAACGCCGCTATGTGTTCGCTCACCTCCCGATCTACTGAGCCGACCTGTGACAGTCTCATTGTCACAGGTCGGCTAGAACTATGAGGGGAGTGAAAAGGAATAACCTCATAGTTCTCCTTTAAAGCAAACTTTGCTTTTTTTGTGCTGTCACCAAACATTATTCTTGAACACAAAATCCTCCTAAGTGATAATGAATTCCACCCCCTCCTGATACATCTGCCCCATACTGCTGTTATCCAGAAGCCTCTGGTCTTCTCCTAAAGGTGCCCATAGGCAGAGGAGGGTGGTCTGGCATTCAGGTGCAGTCCATTCAGCACATGCGAGGGCATATTGCTATAAACAGGAATGTTCTGCTCGGCCATACCTTCCTGTATGAAGGATAGGGGCTTTAGGGGGAACACTCGCAATTTCTGACCTGTCTGAATGATGTTCTCCTGGAGTGGTCAGCCAACGGAGACTTGCCTGGCATTAAATTATCACCCAATTCAAACAGAAACAGACAGACTGGTTGGCTGATGATACATGTCTGTGGGCAGCTTAACCTCTTCATTATTAGCCCTTTATTACCAGGCCATTGTTAGCCTGTGATAATTTGATTGGCAATTACTCGGTCATGCAATACTGTACCCAAATTCATTTTATATCATTTTTGAGACAGGCAGTGCTTCTCTTCTGGTGGCATTTAATACCTACTGGATTTTAAAGGTAAAAAGGCCACAAATATTGAACAGAAACGGTTTCCTTTGCTCTCTGTTATAAAACCTATCAAATAAAAATGCCAGGACAGTACAGTAAACCTCATAATGACCCTTTTTGGAAAGTAGAAATATATGTGGCATATATGAACTGTTTTTACCTGTAGTGATGTGATCCCTTCACCCTGCCATGTTATATGACTGCATGTCATGCAATGCAGAGAGATCATGACAGGACCTTTTAAAACCTTCAGATCTGTAAACTCTCTAATACCCACCACCGTCACCTCCTCCAGCCTGCTTATTTTGGTCTGCTTTTGAACATCATTGGAGAGGTGACGTACGCCCAGAGCCCTCTCCTGTCAGCTTGCTAAAAAACCTCTCATTTTCAATGCATTTGTTCTCCGCAGCAGGATCCTGGCACTGGTGGTTTTTTTAGCGAAGGCTCCAGGCACTTGTAGCAAAGTGTAGCCGGCCAGTGTTTTATCCTAATACTCAACTCTCCCCTTCCTGAGAACTTAAAGCTGAAGTCTAATCTGCTTATATTTTGCCTTCCCTGGTTTCTCCCAATCAACATGCTAATGAATTTAAATACAGCCTTTCGGTTTTCATTAAATGCCTTATTTGCACTCAAAGTCCAAATCCCATTCGCATTGCCACGGTCTCAAAACCACCAGTTATATGTGGTGCCCAGGTGACCACACGGAGGGCGCCGTGCAAAACACGAATGGTAAATAAAAGTAATTGACCGGCACACATTTGAAGGGTTTTTAAAGTGTGTGCCGGTGAATTACTGTTATTTATTTAGCACTCAGTGACATCATCACTGGGTCTCTATGCCTCTCTGGACAAATCCCAATGCTCCTTAAAATTTACAGCTGGCACCTAACGTTTTAGGTTTTCTTTAGTTGCTGTCAATGGAGCTGGCTCCTGGATTGTACAGACTCCTGAACTCCATAATAATTTGTCCACCCCTGATTCAAGGTCCCAGTCTCACATGCATACGTACAAGCACACACATATACAAACTGATTTAGACAGGAGCTAATTAACCTTCCAGAATGTCTTTGAAGTGTAGGAGAAAACCAGAGTACCCGGAGGAAACCTATGCAAGCACAGGGAGAACATGCAAACTCCATACAGATAGTATCCTGACTATGATTCCAACCAGGGACCCCCCAGTGCTCTAAGGCAGAAGTACTCATCATAGCACTACATGTTCTAAAGGGTATTTTTATGAATTGACCTCAACTGTCATTTATTGGCTTCTTCTTTTTTTGTTACTAAATGAGCTTTCTTGTGTTTGTTCTTTCAGCTCCCCTCCACCTTGGTTCTCTCTGCCTCCTCCTCCATATCCCTCCGACATGGAATACAGCCAGACGGAGCTGCTTCCGTACCGCCCCAGAACAGCTAGCGTAAACAGCGCTGGTTCCGCAGGAAACACTCTGGACACTTCCAGCAGCCATTGGGATTCCGCCAGCCCTGCCGAATTGCCGGAACCGGTCGAAACAGCCGGCGAGGCTGAACTGAGCACAGTGCTGGAGGTCTAAGTTACTGAACAGATTCTGTTAAGCTAAGTTTACACAGGCTTCACGGGGAGCTGGGTTTGCATTCCCGATGCTCGCAGAGGACTTCCTGGACCCACAGGGTGTATTGAGACATATATTACAGATTACACAGACGAGTACTCAGTAAAGAATCTGCTTTGCTGTGCTCGCGGGAACAGCATCTGCTGCACCCGACAGAATTCAACCATGTAGTATCCGTTTTATGAGCGGTTCCCCACAGCACCCATGTGTACCCAGACTTCATCTGCCATGGGTTGGTCTGTAGTATCTTGTTACCAGCAAATATTCCTCATATTTTTATAGAATCCAGATGTATATTTTTTTAGATTCATTTTTTGTCCTTCTTTGTATTTTATATTGTTGGAGGGTTTTTTTTTTGTTACCACGTATTCTTCCTGAAGCAATAAGGCACTTAAAACATATTAGGACAGATCATTGACTTTGCCCTCTTGTCTGTTTAGCGACCGCTGAGTATGGGTAGCCACAGAATGAATAAGAATTCCATTTCAGGTGCCTTCTACATACAGGGATTTAAGGAGGCCATTTTTGTCTCTTGCAATCCCCTGTACAGCAGAGGGCTAGGATGTGTTCACCCTTTGTTAGAGTAGGCAGGATGAAATGGTTAGGTGAATCCATTGAGTGATAATGTGGATCCTGGAGATCCCTTGCATGGACCTTCTGGAATGGTGGAGGCCATCTTTTGAGCAGTCAGATAAACCTTGACAGCTCTGAGCACATCTGAAGTATGAAGAGCAATCTCCTTAGGATGTGATGGAGATGAGCAAAGGAAGTTGAGGAAAAAAATCGCACCAGTGCTCATAAACCCTACAGGCAAAGCAGAGACCTCTGTACACAGTCTAGTTGAGGGACTGCTCAATAACTTCCCATGATCTGGGGGTCTGTTATGGCACTAAATGTTGACTGCGAGGGTTGAAAATCCAGGATAGAGGGCTGACCAGGTTGACTATAACACTGCCAGCAGCTGTACATATACAAATGTTCAACTTTAGGCATTGTACCTAAAGAGTACTGCTTGTAGAAGAGCAGTGTGTACAGCAAGCTGGTGCAGAACATTTGGGAGCTTTGAGCCCCTTCCTTGAAGCCTTTAAAGCCTTGGTTCTCAACTGGTAGGTCGTGACCCAAAAGTGGGTCGCGACCCTGTGTTCAGTGGGTCGCCGCATGCCTTCCACTTTTCTAGGTGAGAGGCTCCTCCGCCTCCCCCTAGCATAACACTGTGTCAGTTCTCGCGCCGAGCAGCCATTCAAAATATGCTGCCCAGTGCCGAGTGTCGGCTTGAGGTGGGCTGGGGTTATGGCCATGAGGGAGCTCCATTCATACGTGCATTCCCTACAGCACCCTTGCGTGTCCGGTAGAGGTGCCTGGACCGGAGGGATGTCACATGCTGGCTCCTGGCACCTCTACAGGTGATGCGCATATGGATGGTGTGGGAGTGCATTGCATTGCCATTAATTTGAATGGCATCCCGAATGCATCTCCCACCCACAGTTCTATCGCCCGCATTGGAGTGCGAGGTACCGCATGCCGTGCGTTCCATTGCAGTTCAACTTGGGTCGCGGCTTAATGACCAAGGACAAATGTGGGTCCTGAGGTTACACAGGTTGAGAACCAGTGCTTTAAAGAAAACTTCAGTTCCAGCATAGGCATGTTATCCACTTGACATCCACATGACGTGTATAAATGTCATGGACTCCAAGTGGTTAAAACAAGCTCACGGCCGTGCACTTAATATCATTTTCTTCAGCCAGCTTCTGCCTATCCAGCAAAAGTAATACGAGAGACCATAGAGCCATTTCACAGGTGCACTGTTTGGTGACTTTATATTTGGTGCAACGTTAGTAAAAAATGACCTGAAAAATTGGGTAATATATTGTGTTTGTGTGGATTATAATTAACTTTAGTGTATTATAGTGATAAACAGCTGCGCTAATATCATGCAATATAAAATAAATTACAACTGCAACCATTTTATTCTCTAGGGTCTCTAGAAATACATGATTCTTGTTTTTTTTAACTAATCATCAGGTCTAAAATATGCATTTTAACAAAAAAAATGCAAAAATGGCCCCAGCATTGGCATAAACAAAGCTGGTGAAAGCTTTGCTAAAGTTTGCTCTATACACTTCGCTTATTCAAGCTGAAGCCTATGTGAACAAGGCCAAAGCCTTGACCTGGCAGAGCTGGGGAGCGACCTCCTATCTCCCCAGGACATGAGGCTTACCTGAGCTTGTTGAGTACATGTAAAGTTATAGCCACTAGACGGGACTGTGCCTCCTGTTTTGCCCAGCGTCCACTCTCCTAGAGGTAGTACCTATACCCAGATGACCAAACGGACTCTGTCCCCCAAAAGTCAATGGTAGAAATCAGTTTTCCCTCTGGGCATCTTAGACAATTCAAGAGTCTGTATGAGCCTAATAGAATAAAGGTGATGAGTACCATTGACAAAGTTTATTATTTTGCTTACTTGCCTTGCAATGTCGGGCTTGTTAAAAAAAAAGATGGGGAGGAGCTGTGAGATCACAGAAAACCGATCGTGGCATCTTTGTCACCGGTTCCCTTTGAACCTCTGCGGTTGATGGCAGCCTTCACACGTGTTTTTTTGCCTTTTTCTTTTGAAGCTTTGAAAATGATTTGGATAGAGTCGCGAGTAGTCAAAATGATCATACATGCACAAAACTAGAGACGCTCGATTTAAAAAGCGGAGGAAAATAAAAAAATGAGATGTGAGCAAAAAAAAGAAAGGCAAATTAATATTAACGCTCCACGAAGCTCAGACTGCTCGAACTAATACAAATGTCGGAGCCTTGAAGTGTACAGAACAATAGGAAGTGCAGAATAAGGAAAGCAGTCAATAATGCTGCCCTGCTGCACAAAGCCATCAATTGATGTTCCCAGAATGCTTTGGGCCGCTCCCATTACAGAAGACAATACAGCTGTGGAGCACCAACAGATTGTATTTTTTATGCACTCTATAGAAACATTAAAGTCAAACCTTTTCCCCCCCTTCCCAATCCTGCTGTAGGGATTTACCTTAAACGATGCCTCTTTATTCGATCATCTTCTTCTTTCCTGTTCTTTTCAGCTGTCCCTCCAGCGCTGGGTGCGGGTCTCCGATCCATCGCCGACTCCTCTGTCCTCCTCTTCTCTCATGTCCCATGGTGTCTGTGCGGGTGCACGCTGCTCCATAGACTTACCTTGTGTCTCTCATCGTCTCCCGGCCGAACATCTAAAGTGTGCATGTGCTCGCCCCAAGATCCTTTGCAGCCGCCCGAGACTCTTCAGATGTTCGGACGGGAGCGCGCGGCCGAGACACAGGTAAGTTTAAACTCTTTTTAAAAGGTTTTTTTAAATTTTTTTTTGCATATATCTACTGCTTGATAGCCTTAGATATATCCAAAACATGTAAAGGTTTAGTAACACTTTAATAAACTGTATCATAAGGTTTTTTGTTTTTTTTAAAAAGGACCTCTAGTCCGGATTTCAGTACGCCCCTTAACCCTTTGTTGGTTTAAGTACACCCCTGAAAGGACAAGCTTTACAGCTGAACACCTAAACACAGCTGAAATACACTATATGACCAAACGTTTATGGACACCAGTCCATCACACCTACACTTTATGGCAACAGCTCAGTCAAGGCCCTTTTCTGTTTCAGCTTACTGTGCCCCTATGCACAAAGCCAGCTCCATAAAGACATGGTTTGATCAGTTTGGCATGGAGGATCTCTAGTGTCCTGCACAGAGTTCTGATCTCAACCCTATTTAGCACCAGGTCTCCTTGTCCAACATCATGCATGACCATCCAAATGCTCTTGGCTAAGTAGTCGCACATTTCCACTGACAGATACAAATATCTTGTGGAAAGCCTTCCCAGAGGAGTGCAGTTGCAAAAGAGGGCCAACATCATATTAATGGCCATTGTTTTGGAATGGAATGTTCTACAAGCTCATGGGTGTGAGTTGTTAACAAACTTGACCACATACTGTACGTACGAGTGAACTGTTATGGCTTCCAAATCATTTCTGTCCTTTTAAAGGAACTTTTCGGGGTACAGATATGATCCCCATATGAAGCCAGAGACAGCAAACATTTTCAGCAATGGCAACTCTTCTATTGCTCTCAGGACAGGTTTTTCTAACGTACCTTTTCACTGATTGCCAGTGGTGGTCATTTTGAGCACTGATAGAGAACTTTTGAGGAAGGTGCCAGTTGTCCAGGAGCTTGTGGCCCCCAAAGCACTTGGTATCTGTGACAATGGCCATTTTGTTGGCTGGTCAGTGAAGCCAGACTTTTTGTAAAAACTAAATTGTTGACATGGAGGAAGCCATTTTGCTTGCCAATCACGTCTTCAAATGTAACTAGGGTGAATTAGAAACATCAGTCTCTTCATGGGCTTGACACCTGGACAGGAAGAATCAATATGAGTCTTATCTGTTTGCTGCGAACTAAGGCAGACTGGGCCTGATTCATAGACGCTTCTAATGGCAGTTCATATGACCCACTACAAACAGGATCTCCTTTTTGTGTTCTATGCCTACACCTGCTGTAGATCCTTATGGTTTCCCCAGTTTCAGATTGAGGCTGGCAGTATGAGCCAGTCCCTGGTTTTGTACTTGGATACTCCAACAGCAAGATCTCCCTGCCATAATTCCTTACTCTGTTCTTGTCAACCTGGGAGATTTGGTGTTCCCACCCACCTTTGTGTGTTCCAGTTCCATTTGTTAAGCTGGCCATACATAGCTTGAATTCCAAGCCGTAGGGTGCCTGTTGGCATCATCCGGAAAGGATGGACACCGGCACTCCAAAGCAAGATCAGTACGTGTTTATTAACGTACTAGTTGCAAGTAGAACACTCTATATAACGTTTCGGGGTCTCACAGCATCCCCTTCATCAGGCATTGTGTTGTGCATCATTCAGCTCAACTGTTGTTGAATGAGTGGGCAGGAAAACTCTCTGCCAGTGACTACAGTCAACCAGTCAAATATCCAACAGAGAAGACTCCTCCATCCACGCTGCTTAGCCTGGAGGGGGGAATGGAGTGATTTATAACTCAGTGTATGGCCAGCTTTACATTCTTTATATATAAAGTAAAATCACACATGGATGGTGGTAGCCCCTCATAATGCAGTTGTGCAGACCCAGGAACTTAAAATGGAGATCTTACCAGTAGAGTCTCCCGAAAGATACTGTCAGGTGGTTGAACTCTTCAGTGTCTACAAATAACTGAAACACTAATTTGGAGTGAACTGACGCCTCAATAAAGTACCTTGTTACCGTGCACCCTTTTACAACCCATAAAACGGGGGTTTTCCAATGCAGCACACCACAATGATCTGTGCAGCCTATCTAGACAACAAATCTCCTGTGCTTTTCAAAGATAAGAAAAGAGTGTAACACAAGGGTGTGAAAATGCCTCATTAGAGCTGCAGAAATCTTTAAAACAGCTTCAGGCTGCCATTTC